CTGGTGTGTGTGTCGAGTGTGTGTGTGTGTGTGTGTGGAATGTGGTGTTGTGTATGTGTGGACTCGTCGTGTATGTATTGGCGTGAACATGTCTTTTGACATCTTGGTCTCATTCTCTGGTCAACTGTGGATTCATTGTGTGGTGTGATGTGTGTGGTGTGTTGGTTGTGCGCGGCGTGTGTGTGTTATTCGTGTGCTGTGACAGAGGGTGAGAGAGAGGAGAGAGAGAGAGAGAGAGAGAGCAGAGAGAGAGAGAGAGAGAGAGAGAGAGGAGAGAGAGAGATAGAGAGAGAGAGAGAGAGAGAGAGAGAAGAGATGAGAGAGAGCAGAGAGAGACAGACAGACAGACAGACAGAGACAGGCCGTCAGAGACAGAGAATGAGAGAGAGAAAGAGAAAGATAGAGTAAGGAGAAAGAAAGAGGAATAGATCGAATGAGAATAAAAGAGAGAGATAATACCCACTGTGCATATGTATGGTGTGTGTGTCCGTACATTACATGTGCGTTTGTGCGTGCATGGAGTGCGGTGTCCCACATTTTTGCTTCTTCCGTTGACAGCTGTGTGTGTCTTAGAGAGAGCTTCTGTCCGATCGTCTGTCTGAACACAGCTGTTCAGTGTTGTGCACGCGCGCAAATGTACGTTTAGATGTGAACACAAAGACACACCCAATGGCGGGGTTACTTGTTTGGCCCCTTCATTTGTATTTACCTATCGTTTCTCTGTCTGTCTCTCTCTGGCTCTTCTATCTACCTTATCTTATCTCTCTGTCTCTCTCTCTTTCTTTCTTCTCTCTCCTCTTCCTCCCTCTCCGCATTCTAAATTCTCTCCTCTCCTCTTCTTCCCTCTTCCTCCTTCTTCCTCCCTCTCCTTCTCCCTCTTCTCTTCTCTCCCTTTTCTTCCCTCTTCCTCCCTCCCTGCTCTTCTTCCTTTTTCCTTCTCGCTCTTCTCTCTTCTCCTCTTCTTCCCTCCTCCTCTTCCTCCTTCTCCTTCTCCCTCTTCTCTTCTCTCCTCTTCTTCCCTCTTCCTCCCTCCTGCTCTTCCCAGTGACCCCTAAATTACCTGACCTTGAAGAAGCTGTCTTGTCATCTAACTCTTTAAACTCTCCATTTATATTATCTTTTCCTCTAATCAATCTCTCTTTTTTTTTTTTTTTTGAAATTATTATCGTGTTTTTTTCTTTTTTCTTTTGTTGTTGTTTTTCTCTTTTTTTATGATTTGCGTCTTTATCTGTTTTTTTTTTGGTGTTGGTTGTGTGTGTGTGTGTTTGTGATTGTTTGTGTGTGTTTGTGGTGTGTGTGTTGTGTGTGTGTGTGTGTGTGTGTGTGTGTGTGTGTGTGTGTGTGTGTGTGTGTGTGTGTGGTGGTGTGTGTGTGTGTGTTGATGTGTGTGTGTGTGTGGTGTGGGTGTGTGTGTTTGTGTTTTGTGTGTATGTTTGTGTGTGTGTGTGTTGTACGTGTGTGTGTGTGTTTGTGTTTTTGTTTTGTGTATGTGTGTGTGGTGTGTGTGTGTTTGTGTGTGTGGTGGTGTGTGTGTGTGTGTGTACGTGTGTAGTTGTGCATGTGCTCGCGTGTTCGTCACTTTTATTATCTCTTTGTTTGCAATCACTCCTTTTTTGTCTCTAAATATTCGAGTTTTTATGACCTGTTTTCGCTCAACACCATCCTGTTCTACTCGTTTCAGTAAAAGTGTCTTTATCCCACTTCGTCTCTCTCATCTCTTTATCTATCTATCTATCTATCAAGCAAGCAATTTATCAGTTTGTATATCTGTCTTTCTATTTGTCCGTCTTGTCTATGTATGTATCTACCTGACCTATCTATCAATCTATCTATCTATCTATCTATATATATGTGTTGTGTGTGTGTGTGTGTGTGTGTGTGTGTGTGTGGTGTGTGTGTGTGTGTGTGTGTGTGTACATTCATATATATATATATATATATATATATATATATATATATATTATATATATATATTATATATATGCATTGCCTCTCTCTCTCTCTCTCTCTCTCTCTCTCCTCTCTCTCTCTTCTCTCTCTCTCTCTCTCTCTCTCTCTCTCTCTCTCTCTCTCTCTCTCTCTCTCTCCTCTCTCTCTCTCTCTAAACATTCTCCTTTTCCTTGTCTCTCCTCATTCCTCCTCCCCCTCTGTCTTCCCCCATCTTTCTTTGTGCTGCTCCCCTTCCCATAATTAATTTCTTCCAGCCATTTTGCTGTTTCCGTCTCTCCATAAAATATAATCATGATAATAATGGAACGACAAAAGTTGAAGGAAAATATTTATATTTTTTTTCTTTCGCTGATGTTGTGTATGTGAGCACACGCACGCATCATATATGTATGCATAATGTGTGTGTGTGTGTGTTGTGTGTGTGTGTGTGTGTGTGTGTGTGTGTGTGTGTGTGTGTGTGTGTGGTGTGGTGTGTGTGTGTGTGTGTGTATTATGTATATATACACGTATCTATGACTGTATTAATATCTTTATATATACTTATTATATTTACTTTACATAAATATATCTTACATACACACATTATTCCTCTCTCTCTCTCCACTTATTCGACAATTACCTCCTTCCTCTCTCCTCTTCCTCCTCCTCCTTCTTTATCTTCGTTTCTCCATCTTCCTCCCTATCATAATCCCCATCTTCCTCACTAGTAACAGAAAACAAAAATATCCTTATCTTTTCGATAGAAATAAATAGATAAGATAAGAGACGGAAAAATTTAGACAGTTAACCTTATGACATAGGATTCCCCCCTCCTCCCCCTTCACCCCCCCCCGTCCCAAAAATCCCTAATTTCTTAGATATACAAATAGAGAAAGAGACAGA